CCTGAGCGGAAGGCAGAGGCTTTAACCCACTGAGCCACCCAGGCGCCCCTCTCAAATATGTTTTAATTAATAATAAATCACATTAATATGTAAATAATTGCGTTTTTACCCCACGTATCACAGCCTTGATAATGGGTTTCGGGTATCACCACATGAATGAACAGAATGCCAAATTGTGGTGTGGTCTGTCTAAATAACGCTTGTCTGAATGTCTAGCTTTGTCTGGAAGTTAAATGAGAAAGTGCTTTAAACAGGAAGGATTCTAAAAATCAAGAAAAACTTTGATGGATGCTAAGCAATTTTTCTTTTCAATTTAGATTATCTTCAAATTTACAGCACCATTTCAGCTTGTCCTCTGTTTATTCACATTATTTTCCTGACACTGGAATTCCAGAGGTGACCACTTGTCATTCCCGAAGTGCCATAACTGTGGATTATATTTTCTATTCTGCCGAAAAGGAAGATGTTGCCAGGCAGCCAGGTAAAGAATACATGTAATCTTACACAGTGCTTGAGAAGAGAGTAAGTCTAACCCCAGGGTTGAGTTTGAGAAAGTTAGCTAAACGTCTAGGTGACGTTCTAAATTTAAAAGTTAAAAAGGTTTTTTTGGTAATGTATTTGAGTAAATCAGTTAATCACCTGTAAAACATGGAAGCAGTGAAGGACCTCAAAGCAAATTATCGCCTAAGAATTATATCCTTAGCTCCCCCTTACAGTGCCAGTCAGCTTCCGAGTTACGGGTCTCTCGTATTGCCCTTTAGTTTTATTTGCCGTAAATTTACTGGGTTTCTTTTTGTATATGTGTGACAGCAACATCAGGTAGTTTTGTACTTAAATTTTACTAACGCATACTGCCTTCGTGGGAGGACCTTGTTGTATTGCCAGCAATGGACAGTTTTGTCACGTTGACTCTGGATCTTTCTGGAAAGAGAAGTCCATTATATGAATATGTGGTTTCAAAAAGCAGAGGTGATAAGACAGTTTTCCTTGTACGATTCAGTGAAAGTAAGGTTTTACATATTAACCAAAGGATTTAATGTGGAGAACAGAATGCAGTTTAAAATGACTGGAAGTCAGAGAATATCATTCAGAAAACTTCACAAGTCCAAAATGTGGGCAGCTGTTCTGTCTTTTCTGATCCCCCCCCCCTTTTTTTGTGCTACTTTTCTTTTCTCCTTTTTTCTTCTGCTTGTTTTCTCCTTCCTACTGAGGATAACCTTGTTAGTAATACTCTGGATGGCTTACTCCTCCCCAACTAAGATCAAGTCTATGAAATAGGCTTGCTGCTTTGAATTTGTAGTCAGGGTCTGGGAGTTGTCATGCTCTAAGTGTTCACTAGGTGGCAGGAGTGTGCCACGGACCGGCATATCAAATGGTGCGGTTAACAGCAGATCCTCTGACTCTACTGTGGGCACTGACTCTGGAACCAGTGCATACTAATTTAATCTCCAGGCACCCTGTAAACTTCCTACTCAGCTGTGGCTGGGTCTGTCTGGTTTATACAGCTGTGGGATAGTTGATTAATTTCTTATGTAGTCATCAATCTCACATTACTTTTTTTTTTAAAGATTTATTTCTTTTAGAGAGAGAGAGCGAGAGAGCATGTGTGTGAGCATGGGGGAGGGGGAGTGGCAGAGAGAGAGAGAGAGAGATCCTAACCAGACTCTGCATTGAGCTTGGATCCCGCCATGGAGCTGACCCCACAATCCTGAGACCACCATCTGAGCCCAAACCAAGAGTCGGAGGCTTAACTGACCGGACTGTCCAGATGCCCCTCAAATTACTTCATTTTTTAATTTTTATTATTTTTTAAGGATTTTATTCGGGACAGAGAGCATGCACAAGTTGGGGCAGAGGGAGAGGAAGAGGGACAAGCAAGCTCCCTGCTGAGAGTGGAGCCCCAGTGGGGGTTTCATTCTCAGCCCTGAGATCATGACCTAAGCCGAAGTCAGATGCTTAACTGAACTGAGCCACCCAGGTGCCCTTCAAATTACCTTTAACGTACTTATGTGTTGCTCTGATATTTTCTTCTGAAGATTATTTGCAGAACTCAAAACAAATTTGAACCAGGAAAAAAACCCAAACATCTGAAACTGCTGTGCCTAAGAACTATAATTAGCTTATAACTCAATATGAAATGTAATCATATTCTAAAAGCTGTTTCCCATTAGACTCTAGAAGGTTCTGAAGAAGGACTTGTATGATTAATTTACAATGACTTGTTGACACAGTTTCTCTAAACATGTGTTTCCTTAATGTAGGAGCTGAGGTTGCTCTGGTTGGTGGCTTGAAACTTCTGGCCAGACTATCACTCCTTACGGAACAAGACTTATGGACTGTTAATGGACTTCCAAATGAAAATAATTCTTCAGATCATCTACCTTTATTGGCTAAATTCAGACTTGAGCTGTGACTCTTCTTTGATTGTATATACATATATATATATGTATATATACTTTCCGATTTATATTCTTTTTCAAAAAATGTAAAATATTTCTTGAGAGTTTGCATGTTTATTTTTATGCTGTGGAGTTTCTGAAGAGGTCGTGTTAAATGCTTGAAGCAGATACCAGAAGAAACAAGTTTACAACAATTTTCTTTGTAATACCGAAAAAATATTTTCCTGACAAGTGAGATCTAAACGTTTACTCCTTATTGTAAAAGAGTTGTAAATATTTTTTATTCTAAATCCCAGTAAAGTTGACAGTGATTTTTAAACATAGTGCATCCTCTTTAGTTAGTAAAGAATTTCAGTTGATGTTTTTGGCAAGCTTTATGGTGGATCCAAAGTATCTTTGAGTTCGTGCAAACCACAACTCGTTTCCCTTCCAGAAGGCCTGATTTCATTGTGAGGACCATCTGTTTGTTGAGTCCTAATTAGTTCATCTCAGAAATCGCTCACAAGTGTCCAACCAACCATTTTAGTTTGATTTTGAGGGGGCTTGATAATGCTTCTTAGAATTGTACAGATTGCTTAATCCGTCTTACTCCTCTCCTGAGCCGTGGACGATGTCTCCATTTTGTTGGGAGATGGAGGTCACTGTAACTAAGAGTTGAAGTGCTTTACAGACGCCCTCTTTCCATCCTGTGACAGGCAGACCATTCCAGCATGCCTGAGAGAGGCAGAGACTGGGTTAGAATGCCTTTGTTTGCCTAGCAGTTTGTGGGGGGTTTTGCTTTTTTGTTTGTTTTTTTCTCTTCAGTTTCAAGAAGAGATCCCCGGGTCGGAGGAGAAACTTTATTTTTCTGAACCAGTTCTGTGGAAATTTATTTTATTAGGAAACTTGTCTTTAGAACAAAGTGGCAGCTATAAGATTCTTTTGGTTTCGCTCAGATATTTAGGAAGCCCGTAGAACTAGTGGGGAGATACCAACTTGGAGACCTAATACTCCTAACTAGTAATTTTAACTGTCTTAGTGGTTTTGTTTCTAAGATGTTACTTTGTTTTCTTTCCTAATGAGGCAGCAGTGTGACGTGGTGCTGACATTTTTTTGTAAAGTGGTCAAGAGCAGGTCTAGTGAGTCCCACAGTTGGCGCTCTGTGTTTGGTTCAAACATTTTAAAACAAAAAAGTTAATGTGTCCTCTTTTTTAGACATTAGGATCAAAAAATGATGCACATTTTTACTAAGTAGTAATTTTATATTCAATTGTACTGAATTATAGAAGTTTTTACAACGGGTGTTCTTCATAGAATGCCTTTTCTGAAATTAGAAAGCAGTATTTACTCCGGGTCCTGGACTTTAAAGGTTTTTGTACTAAAGTATATTTACTACAGTTATTTTTTGAGAAAAGAAATCAAATGACTACCTGAACAAGGCGTGTAGGTTATGAGGATTTACCTATGAAAAATGATAATAAGCAAGTATTTTTAAATGTTTAATTTCTCACATTTTTGGATTTTTACTTACAGTATTAACTGTAGTTCTAAGACTTTCCACGTTTTCTAGTAACAGTTTGCAGAATATTGTGTGCTTTAATTAACAGACATTGTCCTCATCAAATAATAGTATAATTAATCCCTTTTAATATTGGGGGAAGAAAAATGAAAATCATTAGTTACTCCTTTGTGTTATGTGAGTTTATTAACAGATAACTTTGTGTATAGGTCATTGTTGCTAAACTAACATCTCTGAAAACCTCTGTGAAAATTTAATTTTTTATGTCCTGATCAATATATTAATTTTAGGCCCTTTTCATGTGCTTCACTTTGTAGAATAAATCCATAAAAATGCTTTCCACTTGAGCATATAGGACGTAGTATTTTGTGAACTGGAGGCCAAAGGGTCAGTGCAACCTTCTCACAGGTTTTTGAAGCTCCACTAAAATGAACTGTCCACTTGTCTTTACTTTTTTTGGTCAGAATTGGTAACTCTGTTGGAGCCTTGTATTTACCTGCCAAAAAGCATTTAAATCTGGTTAATTGCTGAAGCCAAATCACCCCCAGGCCGAAGTGCTGTACTGGCCAAGTTTTAAAATGGAAAGAGATACTGTGGAGTAAGAAATGTCAGTTTTACGATACCTTTTGATATCAAGATAATATGCCTGTTTGAAATCTTTTTTTTTTGGAATTTAGCAGCTGTCGGCTTTTAACCCTTTGCTTTCCTAAAAATCCAAGTTAGAGATCCAGAGAGTTCAAGAGTTTGGGGAAACAGAGAAGTCATTTGCACTTCGTCTCTATGAATCACCTAATAAGTTATTACTCTAGTGCATCTGTGCCTGGAGGTTTTGTGATAGGTGTGCTAAGTGTGTCCACTGGGCTGTTGTCCTTCTAAACTATTTCATTACCCTAAAGCCTGTATTGCTTAGAGTGATGCTTACATGTAAGTGAATTCAGATGTGGCAAAACAGAATAGTGTTGAATACAGAGTCTGAAAATTGTGGAAGAAGATAAGGGTGAGGGAGTGATAAATGAGTTTACTAGGACAAGGATGTAGTAAAAGGACAAGAAAAAAATAAATCACACCCTCTTACATACATTTTTGGAAGAAAAACAATCCTTAAGTTTCCAGGATGGTTTTATTAAAGTCCCATGCTGTGTATAAACATACAAGTGATGAGAAAAACATTAACTTGAAACATGCACTTATCTGGCATTCTCTAAAATACCATTATACAACTTTCCCTTTACTTAGAAAAATACCCACTAAAACAATCACAGTTTTCCTTAAAGATTTAAAAAAAATGTATTGGCCAGAACAAAGTCCAAGAGAATAAACAAGATTCTGAATTGTGTGTCAAAAAAACTATACAAGGTTGTACATAAAACTATAGTTTACAAAAGCCTTGGGTATAGTAAGAATACAGAATTAAGATTTCCAAAGTTCTATTTACCAATATCTATTAATAAAATCCTTATGAAATAATTGACTTAGAAAAAGTGAAATGCTCATGATTTCAAAGTGTATAGAAAATACTAAATATCACTTTCTGAAATAAAGTATACATACTCAAAACAGCACATGGAGTCTGAAATCAAGATTTCTGTCATCCATTTAAACTTTGCATATATCCCCACAATGGCTTAAGCGTAAAATTTCTCTTGCACTAATAACTTTAAAAACTAGATTCAACTCATCTCAAAGTTTTATTTTTTATTTTTTGAATAATAGCCAGTTTTAAAATTAATTTTGGGGGGAATAAATCATGTCATGGTTTTTTGGTTTTGTTTCTGCCTAAATATCATCTTAATCAAATTCCTGCGCTAGAATGGAAGAGTTCAGTACCTTTCTCAGATCTTTTAGAAATCAACATAATTCCACAGGCAATAAAGCTAGAATGAAAACTAAGAGCATTTTAAATTACTTTTTATGTTTCTGTGACTAACCCTTGCTCTGGGGGACTGAATCTTACCATCGAGAAGGGAGTGGAAGAAAAAAATCAGGTTACTAACTGAATCACCAAACCAGCGGTGGTTTTAAGGCTTGTACGTCAGCGTCTTAGAATAGTTTGTGTTCCTATTCTTTACCCTTTTTTGTGGGAAAAAAAGGGGCTCTGCAGCTAGTGACATTCTGTATTTTGGATGGGACAGTGCTTAAGTAAAATTTGGAAAATCCTAGTCTAAGCTCTTAGAAAGATCACCGTGGTATAAATGGTGAACTATTAGCGATAATAAAATTTCAGATTGGCAAACATAAGATACACATATCTTATTTTTCACAGAGAGAGCTAAGTCAGTATTGTTTTAGAGCAACTCAAATATTTCAGTAGATGTGGTCATGAGGCTGCAAATGAGTTTGCCTTATGAAGAGATGCAAAGATAGCTCATCTTAACTCAAACTGATACTATTTTTTTTTCAAACTGATACTATTCTTAAAGAGAGTGATTTTAGTTCAGAATTTTTAACTTCTCTATTTTAATGTAATTGAGATGTCCACTTACTTGGTCCTTTTCCCGTAAAGGATGCTAAACTTCCTCCTTCTTCAAGAAAATAATCACTTTCCATTAATGCCACTGAGTTTTAGCGTAAAGGGAGCGCACATGCACGTGGCCGAGGGATGAGGTCACCTTCTGTGGTTTTACTGGTACAGAGTCTCAGTGAGCAGATTATTTTTCTACTCCCCTTTCTAAAATCGCCTTCAGGCAAAGAAAGCCAGGGAGGAAGTCCTGGCAACTGAAATAACACTTGTGTTGACTAGCAGACTTCACATACATCTGCGAGTTGGCCTCCTGTGTTGGCATGGCCGCCGAGCTACAACAGACGAAACAGAAGCACACTCTTGATGGTGACAACGTACACACTTGCCGGGTAGAGCTCCTCTCTGCGGCCCGCAGTCCGAAGTTACACAGACACACTGTCCTTCACGGACTCCGTCACGCTCGAAGGTAGAACCCTCTACCTGAAGACTTTTCCATTTAAAAGAAGTTTCTGCTTCTCTTAATTCATCGCATTTTCCAATACCAGTTCCTAAGTCATGAAGTGGTACTTCAGACGAGATCGGGCGCGTTCAGGGTGGTATGGCCGTAGACTGAAGTGGTACTTCAAAGAGAGGGACTGGAAAGGGATCACACCGTGCCACCTTTGGTCTTAATATAAGACATCAGGACCCCTCCCTGACAACAGTGAGTTCTCGGAACCAGCGCCTGACTCAGAGTCTAAAAAGCAGATGGGACGTGAACAGAAAGGTTATCTGGTTCTCAAGACTGCCGATTCACTCCTGGCCTCTGCCTTTCTGAGTGTGTGGTTGCCGGAGGTCCTTGCAATACTGCTAAATGTGTGTCACAGTGCCGTGACCTCTTGTGCTTTTTTTGCTGGAGTTTGCAAAGTTTAAATGTTAGTGACAGAACACAGACTACCTTCGGATCGTGCTTTTTGTTTTGAAAGAACAAAAACCACTGTCAGTGAATGCTTTAAGAAAGAAGTAACTCCAAGGTCCTGAAAAGAGTTTCCCGTATTGCCAGAAGAATTTCAGTGCTTTTTAGTAAAACACTTGGTATAATACCTTAATCCCATTGTATGTGTGCACCAGGAAAAAATTCCAAACTTTCTGGAGATCCCCATTGGAAGTACTGGGGAAATAATACAAATAGAATATAAAAAAACAAAACACCATTAAGTTTGCATATCTGATGTCAAGATGCTGAGGTAATATTGACTGCTTAAAAAAAAAAAAAATCCCACCATTTTTTGCCTCTGTTATTGCTGAAAAAAGACATTAATACTGGCTGAGTTACCTTACTATATCAAAAGTGGGAGAGAGGGTTTCAGGAACATTTACTACTGGTGAGGAGGCATCATGTCCAAAAGCAAGTAAATAAAAGTAGGTCAATGGGAAGATAGAAAACTACAGTTACATATGACCCTTTCTATCTGTAGTGAGGGGGACAGTCCAACCCCAGTGGGGTTTCTTCAGCCTTTTCATGGTCGCCCCTTGGTGACTTTCAACGATAATTGTTACCACCCACTCCGAATCCATGTCCAAGTGAATCCTTAAAAATAAAATCCACAGGTTCTCAATAAATAGTTGCAGTTCCTCCTGAAGATGCTGGGGTAAAGTGCAGAGAGAAGCACCACGGAAGCCCTCTTGCTGGCTGATATGGCTTGCCTAAATTCGGATTTGGTAGCCCACCTCATTCAGCGTGCTGAGGTCAGCCACCTTCTCAGGCAGTGCGGGCCTACAGGTCAAAGGCAGGTGGGGGAGAGGGAGGGGATGGAGAAAGATCACTTAGTATTTGATTCGGAGAACTTGACTTTGTTCTCCTGACCCTTCAGGTGCTTGCCCCCAGCCCGCCCCGCCGTACCCCACCCCTCCCCAGGCTTGGTTCCCAGCTTGACCTCGTGTTCTCAAGTCCACTCTGATGGGATGTAGAGAACATTTTCACAGGCTTTTCAAGGTAGAGCTGAAAAAAACCTGATAGGTTGCCAGATGAGTCTGTCCAGCTTGAAGCCTGCCTTCGGTCACACTCTAACTTCTGAAACCCAGTATCTGTGAACCTTGCAAGGATCTAAAAACAAATCACATGTAGTCCAGTAGAACTAAAAACCTCAGCCGGACTCTCCTTGAAACCTGGGCTTCCTGATGCTTACGCCCTGGGGGAAACCCAGCAACTACAAGTCCTCTCAGGTGCCAGGTTCGCAAGGAGAGGTGCTCGGCTCTCTCTGACGGAGGATTACTCTTCCAGGCCCCAGTGCATAAAATCGGGGCAAATCCTTTACAACTCATCTGAAAAAGCATGTCAGTGTGGAAAATCATTCCATGACAAATCCTCTGTTCTCCCTCAATACATTTTCCTAAGTACAAATAAGCATTTATGTGAGATCATGTCAGAAAGTACTTCAGGCTGAAAAAAGAAAATCAGTAAAAACATCACCTGTCTTCATTAAAGACATTTCCTCAATGATTTCCTGATATAAAAGTACGCCTACGCATTCTCCCGACTTCACTCACAGTTTTTCCACTTCTTCTCTGATAAGAGAGAACTGAGCTTCTAAACCTAATTAAGCAGGTTCAGTATGGCTAGGGAGTTCGAATTCAAAAGTTGCATGTTCAGCCATTTTTATCAGAAGAGTAAAGGTACTTTTAGGCTACCCATGAACCTTAAGGGTTTGAAGAAGAGAGACCAGGATGAAAATATAACAGTTTCTTGGTTTATCCTCTGAAGGGTTTCCTCCTAGCAAATAGCTTTCCCCTGGCGGGAAAGTGCTCCAACTCATGTGGTGTTGACAGAGCCAGAAATCAATAGCTAATATCGGGGGGCCACTTAAGGACACGAGGCTCAAATTTTGGCAAAAGTTCTACTGCCCTACATATTCGCATTCTGTCCCTCTCTCTCTGCCCGCCTTCATCTCCTCTCCCTCCCTTCCCCTCCACCCCTCCCTCCCTTTCTCGAAACAGCCTATGAACATCCCCTCTGAACCTGATGATTCGAAGTGGTCAGGAAACCTTCCCTAACTTGTTCCTTGGCGTTGCTAAGGAACTTGTGAACCTACCCATCTTTGTGTTGCATGAAGCTGATTTCTCAGAGGGACCACGCGCCCTGCTCTACTGGTCAGGAATCATGCCTCTCGTTTCTTTCTGTCTCTGGTCGTGGTCCGAGGGTGCCCCGATGATGCTGACAAATACGGCTGGCAGAGGATAGAAGTCCCCAGACTTCCTTGCGTGAAAATCCCTGCTCACTGTACCAGAGCGCGCAAGCCTTCCGACCTTCGGGCCGATGGTGTCCTCCAGCCATATGTGCCCTAGAGATCAGCCATTCTCTAGCCAAAGAGCCACTGGCGGAGTGGACCCTAGGGGCCACAGTGAGGACCATTCTTGAACTGGCAGCTAAAGGGAGCACGCTTCAGTCTGAGGGTTCAAACTTAAGTTTATATCTCTGCCCTCGCCCTCAGCCCACTAACGTGGAGAGAACTAGGGCTCTTGTGGACAAGTCTGGTTCAGAGTCCATTTGTATCCAGTTCATTTTTTCTTTTTTTTTAATTATTTTTTTTTAAAGATTTTATTTATTCATTTGACAGACAGAGATCACAAGTAGGCAGAGAGGCAGGCAGAGAGAGGGGGGAGGCAGGTTCCCCGCTGAGCAGAGAGCCCGATGCGGGGCTCGATCCCAGGACCCTGGGACCATGACCTGAGCCGAAGGCAGAGGCTTTAACCCACTGAGCCACCCAGGTGCCCCAATTATTATTTTTTTTTAAATTTATTTATTTGACAGAGAGAGCACAAGTAGAGGGCGCAGCAGGCTCCTGCTGAGCAGGGAACCCAATGCAGGGCTCAATCCCAGGACCCCAGGATCATGACCTAAGCCAAAGGCTTAACCGAATGAGCCACCCAGGGGTCCCTCTAGTTCATTTTTTCAAAAAGCCTGAGATAGAGTCTGTTTTGCTTCCTTGCGTGAGGTGTGTCATCTCTTCAAACAGCTAATATGGGACTTCCTTCTTCAGGGAGACTCCCCATAAGTTAGCATCACCCTAAGGCAAATGTGCTTAGAAAGGCAAATCTACTTCTCCCCTCCTCCATGGGCCACACTTTTAAGAAATTTCAGCAATCAAAAAAATTCACTTGGCGAAGGGTAAGTTTGAAGTACCCCATTCCTCACTTTACAATAGGATTAAATAGGGGGGACATTTCCTAGAGCGATTAAAATATAATTTCCAGGGTGCCTGGGTGGCTCAGTGGGTTAAGCCTCTGCCTTCGGCTCAAGTCGATCTCAGGGTCCTGGGATCAAGTCCCGCATCGGGCTCTCTGCTCGGCTGGGAGCCTGCTTCTTCCTCTCTGCCTGCTCGTGATCTCTCTGTCAAATAAATAAATCTTAAAAAAAAAAAAAAAGGAAAGAAAATATATAATTTCCACACTATCTTTCCTGGTGGTAGAACTACATGACCATATATATACTCTTTATCCAAACATAAATTAAATTCGTAGTGAATGGTTTTTTCCTTTATCTGATGTTTTTAATGATCTCTGTGCGGCAGTCTGTTACGTGGCCCTCCACATCCACTCTCCCCTTCTGCCTTAGTAAAAACCCGATTTTCAGCTGGGCCCGGAGCTATCAAGAACACAAACCACTTCTCCCAGCCTCTTTGAAGCCGGTCAGGCATCAGACTAAATTGTAACCACCGAGATTGACATGAAGGTTTACCAGACAGCTCTTCCCAAGACAACGAGCATGGGCCCTTCCTGGGTTCTCCTGCTCTCTCTTCTGTCTTGTGGAAGTGATGGTTGGACCGTGGCCCCCAAGATGGGACACTGAAGAGGCCGAGCAGTAAGACGCCCCGTACCGTCTCTTTTGAGCCACTTTCCCATCCTGGTGAGTCCCAGCCAAGTCCTAGCCTCTCCCCCAACCTTACCCTCCACCAAACCTGATCCTGACCGGGATCACGTCCGTCTGTTAACTCACTAATACAACGCCAACTCGATGCCAGTCATGGTGGGTATTGAGTGGGCCTGAGGGAGTTTCGCCTGGGGAGTGAGCATGCGTTCCTAGACGTCCTCTAGATTCCACTTAGGAGAAGTAGCCACACCCTACCCCAAATCCGAAGACTCACTTATGAGAGTCTCTTCTTCCCCCGGGGCCCTGCACCCCCTGTGGGACCAACGCCATGGCGGCTCTTCACACCTCCCCTTGTCTGTCAAGAGTAAGCCACTCCTGGACGGTGGCTCCCCATTCCAGCATCCTCCCCAGCACGCACCCGTGAGCTCACCCCAGTTCCTGCACCTTCCTTCCCGACCTGGCCCGTCTCTCAACAGAGTCACACCTCTCCTTCTCCGAAACTCTAGTCACTGTGCTGCCCTCCCTCTATGAGAACAGCACTAGTAAGATATGAGCCCAGCATGGTTTCCCGGGTGGTAGAGTAGGTCCACGCTGACCTATTTTCTCTCCCTCAGTCCCGGGCTGGGAGGTCAGCGGCAGGACGGGCTGCAGGGTCCAGGAGCTGGACAGGAGGACAAACCCTAGTTGCTCGGCCCTGGGATGTGTTCTCCACAGAAGCCATTTTCTTTGCCCACTCACCTGAGCCCCTCACTTTGGAGCCCATCAGCTCAGAGGAAACAGAATTTTCACCACATTCTTCAAAGTGTGTGTTCCTAAAACTGCACCCTTTTACCTTTACCCTTGGTCTGCTACTGGCTCCCTTGAAAACAGATGGACTTTAACTTGGGGGGTGGTCTCTGAACTCCTTTTTTCTAAACCTTTCCTTAGCACCTCCACAAGTCACTCCCCTTGCCCACCCTGGCAGGAATCTTCCGGGTGCTGAGAAATCACCATTATAAGTAACTTTCATTTAGCTGGCCCTTACGAGGCACCAGGCATCGCTCTGAGAGGTTTACAGGGATTAACTGAGTCTCACCGTAACCTGACGGGGCTGATACTCTTCCTACCCATTTTACAGAGGAAGAAATCGAGGCACTGAAAGGGAACTCGCTTAAAGCAAAATTGCATGTTTAGCAAGTGGGGGAGCCAGAACTCATCCCCAGAATCCAGAGCCCATGCTCTTAACCAGGAAGCAAATGGACCTCATCCTCCCACTCCCCGCACAAAGCATCCCTCCAGCATCGAAGGATGACCCCACAACCACTCCAGCCTCTGCGCCATGCCATGGAATGCCCAACCCATTCTTGTCATCCCTCCACCGTCCGACCCAAACGCCACTTCTCCCACGAAGTATCCGACTTCCTTCCCTCACAATGCATGACTCCTCGCCCCCATAGGCTGGGACATTTTCTCTGGCACACTGCTGAAGTCTCCTGCAGGCTCCTATCCTTACGCCTGCCTCTGAGACTAGACAGGGATCAAGTCCGTTCAGCTATGAATCCCTCCTGCTGAATCGCCGGTACTTCTCGGTTAAACCTGGGTCAAGTTCTCATTAACATGTAAACGGCGGATAGGGCTTCATTGCGTTACCTTCATCATGGGGTATTTTTAACAATGTCCTAAGCCAGGAATTCAAGTCACCATGATGACATTTTCATTTTTGTTCCTGTACAGAGAGGTTTTATCTTACCTCTGAAAGCGGCCCGGGGAACCTGCCTGCTTGAAAAGCTGAAGTGGGTCGACAAGCAGGGGCTGGAGGGTTTCCAAAGGAAAAGGACTCGATTGTCCCCTTCCTCTGTAACCCACCCGCCCCGCCCCCCCAGGTATCTGGAACCCCGGGAAGAACAACAGGCAGAAAAAGGAGTTCGACCGAGATCCCCCCCAACCCCGGTGAACTGCCTGAAAGAGGAAACCCTTTTCTCTCCCAGCGATGCTGGCTGCAGTCTCCTGGCCTGGCCAAGGGCAGAAGTGGGTTATCAGCCGGCCACCTGCCTGCGGGCCCAGCCAGAAATACTGCTCCGTCCTGGCCAGCAGCTCGCTCAGGGCCAGAGCCGGGCGAGCCTGTGCGTGGAGAGACCTCTTCCAAGGGCTCCCCTGGTTATACTTAGAATTCCACAAAGGGATTTATTTTTAAGAAACACAAGCGCCGGAATGGTGATTCAGCCGGATCTGCACTTGCCCAGAACTTCTCATCAGATGCACGGTTATTATTTTAGATGGAACACTCTTTTTCTCCAAAACCCTCCCCAGTCCACGCAAGGGAAAGAGCTCTGAGGATTTTCCCACTGAGGGCTCTGGGCCAGCCTTCTGTTTGAGAAGCAGCAGGGAAGGGGACTTTAAGTTTCCGTGAGAGCTGCTTCCCTCAGCACACAAATGGATAATCCCAGCCTCATCTGTTGTCATGTAAATGTATCTGGGGTGACTTAGGGGGACGGCTTGATGGCCTGGCCCCAGGTGTCCCCTCCACCCCTACCTCAGGCCTGCATTCCTGAAGCCAGCTCCAGCAAGGGCTGTTCAGGGGGGAGGTAGGCTGAGGAGGACAGGATGGTTGTTCCATAGATAAGTTTTCTGTAGCAGAGAAGCCTGAGTTTTCCATCCTTGTGACACATGGTGGAAATTCACACTCTGGGTTTTTTGTTTGTTTGTTTGTTTGTTTGTTGAAGTAAACTCTACAATGTGGGGCTTGAACTCAGGACCCTGAGATCCAGAGTTGCACACTATACCGACTGAGTCAGCCAGGGGCCCCCACACTCTATATTTTCAATGTGATCTTTTGTCCCGGGTAGCTGGGAGTAGATATGGGACTTCCAATTTTCCAGTGTGTCTCAATCTTATATCTCAATCTCAATATAAGATTGAGACACACTGGAAAATTGGCTTGTGGTTCATTGCCTTGATCCAAATCTATACATAAAATATGAGTAGTATTCACCACTGTCTCCTAAACCACAACAGTCCAGGGACATTGAACCGGCTCTTAGGCAGGCAGAGTGGCCCCTCGAGACTCGCACACAGCCTGAGGCAGCCTCCGTGTCCACGAAGAGCTTGGCGAGATTCTGTGTTGGTGTCGTGAAGGCGCAAAGAGCCTCAGAACAAGAAAGTTCACGGCAGCATGTTGGGGACCAAGTGGGGACATCACATCCTAGGGCTGAATGTATCAGCTGGTGTGTGTCTGTGTGAGACTGGGTTTAAGAAAAGAAACAGTGACGCGGAAGGAGAGCCTGCAGGGCTTCCCCCAAGCCCGCCATCCCTTTTCTGTCCCTCTGACTAAGGCCCCAGTTTGGGGCATCTCCTCCCCTCACTTCTCAACCCCAGCCCCCTCTCCCCTCAGCAGTTGCTGGGGAGCAGAGGTCAGGGGGCCTGGCTGGCAGCCGGGAGGGGAGAAAAAGTCTCCTGCAACTTGCCGGGGACTTACTCACCCACAAGAATTTACTAAGTAACACTGTGTGCCAAGTACCTTGGAGGTCCCAGGGTTACAGCAGGACAAACAGCAGCTCCTGCTCCCACTGGACCCCAAGTCCATTCCCTTTCTTCTGATGGAAATTTGCCTCTTGTTTCTCCCATTTGAGTAGGATACACTCCCGGGGTGTGGCCCATCTATGACCACTTTGGGGCTACCTGATCGGGAAGCACGGGCCACCTGTCCTGTTCCCACTTCTTACTCCTGTCTCCCCTGAGGTCGCAGCCACGGAGGGTGGGCAGTGTCATCGCCCTCGGGTTCACTCACCCTCACACACAGACACACCCATGAAGACCAGTTTAGCTCTAGTCCCTGTGGACTCGGGATTCTAGAAAGGGATATCCAGGAAGGGAGTAACTCTCACATGGACCTCTTGGTCCTCCGTGTTAAGGGTATGGAACAGATTAAGGCAGGGATGGCGCTGGCCCAGCATTTACAAGTTCAAGCAGAGACCTCAAGCCCTCCTCTCTCGTCTGGTCCAGCAGGGATCAGGTCAGGCTGGGCACCGGTTTAGGACTTAGGACCTGTCTCGTAGGCCTCTACTGGAGGGCCACGGGAGGGCAGACTGGTTCCTTCCCACTTGTCACCCTCATTCCAAGCCCGTCCTGCTCCTTGTTCACATTCCTTGGTTCCTAGGATGGTAGGTATCCTGCTGGCGGGTGCAGGGCGGACGGGCGCCCACCCAAGAGATTCGGCTCAGCAGGGACTCTCCCAGCCCTGCAATTTCTTTCAAGGCCTCCCAAGGTAGGAGGCTCTGGCCAGAGACCAAGAGCCACAGGCCACTGTTGAAGATTCCAGGGCACAGCCTCCTCTCCTTACCGTGACAGAGAACCCATCAGGGATCCCAAAGGTGTCTAAACCCAAGAGGCTCTTCGCTCATTCAGGTCAGGAGGTCTTTGCTCATAGAGCTCATCACCTATCCTGCTTCTCCAAGTGTCTCTGGTGACCCCAGACCCTATGAAATCCCAGGAGAACTAAGTTGGGCAGTCCTTTGGGCTCCTAGAAGGAAACTCCACATCACCCAGGATCCTGGCTTAGTTCTCCCTCTCCTTCCACAACCATTCTACTTTTCCCTCACCTTTTATTTTTTATTTATTTATTTATTTTTGCCTCCCCTCTACTTTGCTTGCTAAGGAAATTATCTCCTTTCCACCTTTGGGGACATTTTCTTACACGGGTGGAAGGAGAATAGAATGACTTCTCGGGCCTCGCTCAGAATATCTTCAATATCATTAGCCCATGGAATCAAACTGATTTTCTAGGACTTCATTATCACTTCACAGCCTCACTTGGGCAATTGCCTGGAGGTGTCCCTTCGATACTTCATAAAAAATGGAGCAGGAACTCCCTTGTTCCCCTTGGGGCCAGCTGTGAAAGGAGACTTGATCTTGAGATGGGGCTTAGTAACCTCTGTGACCCTGAGGGTCTCCAGCAGGGTGGGCCAAGCCCCCTAGAGCCACAGACCGCCACAGAGACAGATGACCTAGAAGGGAAATCAAAGAGGGAGGAAAAGGGAGGAAGAGAATCATAGATAGCAAAGAAGAGCAGAGGAGGGACAGAGGCGGAAAAGAGGAGCCAGAGAGCGGAGAGAGAACAAAGCCGTTCTCCGAGGTCCTTAGGGACTCTTGCCCCACTTGGGAAGAATGTCCCGACATGGTCACTCCAATTGGCACGAGCCCCTTTCATGTCGACGCGGGCAGCCCAGCCGGAAGACGGTCCGCTCAGCCCTATGCTCCCAGGTTGCAGGACTGTCAGAGACAGAAAGGACCCCAGGGAGCATTTGTGGTTCCTCGGGGAACTGCTGGCATTTTAAGTGGAAAGGTTCTCAGTGGGGGAGGATGAGCTTTGCAGGAGGTTTACCATCCTTGCCCCGGCCCCTCCCCAGGATCCATCATTATAACAACTTCTCCTCCCACCTCATTTCTAAACCTTGTTCCTTCGAGGGTGAGGGGCAGGCGTCCTGGCTGCTGCTGCTAAGAGAGGCCCGGCGTTGGGAAGCGTAGGTAGATGTTCATAGCAGGCCTTTAAAACGTGGATCTCAACCTCCATCTCCCTGCCTCTCTTAGAACCACAGGAAACAATTTGCTCTGGGTGGATGGCGCTTTAAACACTCCTAGGGGAGCAGAGGCTGACAAAGGACTCATGGGGTGGAGGGTGGGGGCGTCCCTGTCTCCCTTTTGACACCTGGCCCTGAGCTGACACCTAGTGCAGCCTTTGCTGTTTGCCCTCCCACCCAGCTGACTCTTCTGTCAACCTAGTGACACTGATCCTCCTTTCCAGAAGGATTAGTCAGACGAGTGCAAAAACGGAGAGGAATGCAGGGCTGAAGTAGCTGCAGCTGTAGGGATGAGGTCGGCCGGGATACAAAGCCACTAAAATTATCCCAGCACAGAAAGGGGCCGGGACCCCACAGCAGATGGGCCTCTTGCCTGTTATGGTAATATTCCACGCTCTGGGCCACTCCCAAACTTCATTATGGCACCCGACACATTTAGAAATGATTTGATGGCCTTATGTAATGCTGAAAAAAATAACACAGTGACAGAGCCACCAAGCCCTCCCTAGTCCTGGCCATTCCACCGCAGGAGGCCCAGAATTTTGGTGGAGTTATTGGGTCAGTACCAAATGGGTCCCTTTCTCATTTCCTCACCAAATCTAGATTACCTGGAGAAAAGCCTGCTTCCTGAAGGACAGGGGTAGAAGCTGAGAAGCTGTTCTCCTCCAGACACACCTCTCGGAACCAGGGTGTCCTGGGCTCTAGTCTGTGGCAATGGCGGAAGCTGGGATCTGGAGAGGGAGGGAGGGGCTTGGTGCTTCCGTCCTTCTTGTCCTCCCTGGGTCACGCAGCCTTGCATTTTCCTTTCAACCCTTGCTTCTCTGTCCCCTCGAGCCCCTGGGATCCCCGACCCAGACTTCAACTCAGAAAGCAGGGTTTAAGGAGGAATTAGTAATACCTTGTAACACCTCAATCACCTTGAAACCTCAGCGAAGATATTTGCCCTCGAGAATCCCCTCCTGACCTCTAAACTGGGAAAAGAACTGGCAGGGGCTTCGGCTACTAAGGATGGCCACGGTCTTCCTGGATTTGCTCACACCAGATGGTCCACAGGAACCCACAAGCCACCTAGGCTCCCTTGATGGTCAAACTCTTCCAAAGCCACCCTGCCCTGGCTGTGAAAAAGAAAATCCCTAAGACCTGACCCACTAGGGAGAGTCGATGGAGGGAGACTCCTGGGAACCAGTGCCATGCCCGGGAGAAAGGGCTGAGGGCTTCCCAGGCTGGTCGCAGCCACTCTTCGCCATTTTGGAAAAGTTTATGTTTTCACTGAACCATGAGCCATCGCCTCTGCGCAGCCAGGGCCCGCCTGCCAGGGCTGGGCTCGACTTCAGGGCATGGAGGGAAGTGGGTGGTGGAGCGGAAGCCCCATCTTCCTGCAGGTCTTCCTTCCTGACCCCACTGGGGACTGCTGCCCTCTCCCTACTGCCTTTCTCCCCATCCCGGGGCCTACTTCCTGCTTCCAACCGACAGGAGGGGTGAGGGTGAGGGGGGCCCCGACACTGGAAGGTGCTTTGCACTCACAACTGCGGCAGTCTAAGAGCTGTCCTCTGCGGGCACAGGCGTGGTCGCTTGCCTCTGCTGTGTGACAAAGTCCAGAGATTAGGGTACAGGCATGGCTCGGGGGTGACCGAACACCAGTTCCCTACCTGGCCCCTAGGAGAATGACCAGCCGGGCTCTGCCCAGCGTGTCTTCAGCGGAGCCCAACATGGGGGTCAGGCCGGGGTCTCACCCTCCAATGGCACCTCAGCACCTCAGGCTCCAGAGGCCCAGGCAGGACCAGGTGGAGCTGAGCCGCAGAACCACACAGACCCAGTGCCTGCACCTTGACATGCCGTTGTTTTTTTAAAGTCAACCCCCAAATCAGAACCAACCGCGGTTCTCCAAGAGTGGTCCCTGGACCAGCGGCATCAGCATCACCTGGGAACTTGCCAGAACGGCAGATCCTCGGGCCCCATCCAGATCTGCTAAATCACAAACACCGGGGGAGGGCCCCCATCTGTTTTAACAAGCCCTCCGGGGATTCTGGTCTTGCTGGAGTTTGCAAACCGGGTGCAGGATCCTTCTGTCTCTCCTCAGCTGGGCCCTGTGCTGCTGCGGCTGTTTCACCCCGTCCTGTGCCCATAACCCACCCGCTCCTCCTCACTCCCACCCAGCGATGCGCCTCCCTCACCAGCGGGATAAAAGCCACTGAAAGCACAGTCTGTCCGCTTCTCCGTCCTCATCTACCTGACCTTAAACTCTCCCTCATCCCCCGCCTCCCTTTGCTCCTCGATCTTCACATTTGGCTTCTGCAGGTGCGGACTGGCCCCTTGGCACTCCTGACCCGCCCGCTCTGCTGTTCCTTCCCCATCTCCTGCTCTGGCCCTGCATCCCCTGGGCCACTCGGAGCCTGCCAGCACGTCCCTCCCTCCTCACTGACTCCTCCAGCTATCGCTTCAACTGTCGCTTCTAAGCAGATGGCTCTGCTGTCACGGTCTCTGTTTCTCAAGCTCCAGATCGGCATTCTCAGGGGCTTCTAGAATGCTCCCCCAGGGTGCCCAAGCAGCAGCTCAAATCCCACAGTCCAGGCCCCAATGCACCTTCTTCCCATACTGTTCTCAGACCACCGGCACCTGGCACGTCCTCGGACTTCTGTCTCCACAGCCAGCGTCTGAGATCTTGCTGGCTTTCCCGTCCCAGGGCACTCATGGGAACTTTTTCTGGTAAAAAAACCTAACACGCCTTGGACTGCAAATTTCCTGTGGATGCAAGTAAAACGGATGCGACAGGAATGGTCTGAAAACCCCATCCTGCTGTCCCGTGCATCAGCCCGTCAGGGGCACACTCAGGACTTCCAGGTTTAGAGGGCAGAGTGGGGCTTTCTGGACTGCTCAGTGTCTGCTGCAGACTGGGAGCTCCTGCTAAGGGGAGACTTAGCCCTCCTGGGACAGCAAAGCTAACAAGGCAGAGCAAAGCACCCCTCCCCGCTCCTTGAGTAACCAGATCGCTACTTCTGGGTCCCGGGCTCCATGCTCCGTGCCCTCTAAAAAGGGTTTACACATGCACAGTCCTCTGAGACAACTGCTACTTTGTTCAGGGTCACCAATGAATGGATGGCTGCATGGGAGAGGGGGAGAGAGAGGGTTGTGGTGAAGGTCAGGGTCAAGAGGCAAGCGTAGTGGTCAGCATCAGAGGCAGGATTAGGGTCAGAGGCTTGTGCCAAAGCTCTGAAGCCATCCTCCTCCCCAAAAGGTCAGAGCCATGCTGAAGCCCCCCCATCCTCCAGCTTCTCTTGCTGCAGGAACCCCCCCTTTCCACCTCCTCCCCTGTCAAGGCCTGGACCCCAGCCGTCTTAGCCAATACCCTCAGGCTGTGGATTCTGCACCAGGGTTCGGCAGCAGGAGGTAGAATGGGGACAAACAGGGAACTTTCCTCAGAACTGAAACCACTTCATCCTGACAGAACCAACACTTCCATCCCCCTCCCCCCTCCCAGAGCCAGGGAACCCGGGTTCCAGCCCCAGTGCCATCACTGACCAGCTACAAGACAGCACAAGATAACAAACCGGGTTTGTGTTCTGGTTTCTCCCTTTGACAGTGAAAACTAAAACTCTGCCTTCTTACTCTACAGGACTGATGTGACAATAATGACGCGCCTGCATTAAAAGCTGCTCACCATGAACAAACCGCTCTCCCTACGTCTTCTAAGTGGGTCCCACGACTCCTTGAGAAGGAGGCAGGGAAAGTGTTTTTATCGTCTTGGACGGATGAGCAAAGAAGGCTCCTGAGAGGTCTGCCCAGGCCGCAGGGCTAAGGGGTGGCTGAGCGGGGGCTCGCCCCGGACCTCTGTGCACTGCGCCACACTGTCCCAGGCTCGGTGAGAGCAGCTCGTGACCAGCATGCGCTGGTATTAATGACAGTGGTATTTTCTCCCCTGTCTAATTAAGGCCCAAATTTCAGCCCGTGGATTCTCACCGGGTACTTCTCCAATCTGTCATTTCCCAAGGGAGTCATTTTGACCTCAGAAGTAGGTGTGGAATCAGTGGCCTCGGGGATAAGATGGGGGAAGACAGGGTCAGCAAGGGAGAAAGAATGACCTAAAGATGCCATGACCTAAAGAACGATCATGATTTCTCCTGGGCACAGAGGGCTATGGGGTTTTAGGAAAGTTTCATCAGTTCTAAGAATCCCATCTTCCGGCTAAGGGAACTTAAGCCGAGGAAGGTTCCATGGCCGGCCTCAAGTCGTGTGGCTCACAAGGGGCTGAGCTGGCCCCAGACCCAGGCTTCCTAATCCTATATCCACCGTTCCCCCCACGCTGCCAGGATCTCAGGATTCCTTCATCTCTGGCAGTCTGGAGCTTGTCCCTTCGTCTGAGTCTACAACTGACAGGCAGTAGCATCAGAGCAATGGGGGCGACGTGTGCAATGGACCCTTCTCCACAAGGGACGCCCCCTGATGGAGGGCCGGTCCTCCTGGAGATCTCAGTCTGGTTCAGATGCCACGCCCAGGACACAGCTTTGTCCCCACGGGCCAGGACAACCCCATGGATGTGTGTGCCGGCCCCTGAGCCAGTGAAGAGGAAATAGTACTCACGACTTGTCTCTCCTGCCGAGCCGTCTCGGGGGGCTCGCCTGTCTCCTTCGGGGGGACAGGGATTTCCCCCGGCTTCTCACTTGGGTTGGAGAATGGGCACTTGCAGGTTTCAGGATCTGAAGGAGATGTGAGGAGTTACCACGCTGGCTCCGGAAGGAAACCACCCTCCTGACTTCCCGCAGCCTCCCTGCCCCCACCATGAGTGCGCGGCCTAGGAGATACCGAGCCGGAAGACCTTCAAGGGGAGTTCCTTGCTCAGTCTACACTGGTGAGGAGCAGAGGACCCCTTCCCCAGAGGCTGAAATGATTACACTGTGCCCCCTTTTCCACAGCAGAAGAGCAAAGCCCTATGCCTCAGCCTCTTGGGGCTGTTTCCAGGAGCTGTGTGCTGTCTCCTGAGGGCAAAGTCCCATCTCCATTGCCCCAGAAACCAGCTTGTTCCTCCTCTGACTCTCCCACCCCATACACAGGCACCGAGTGGTTTCATTTTATCAAGAATCTCAATCCCAGGTCCCTTAGGGTGAAGATGACAAGTCCCCAGGCACTAAACAGCCTGAGGTCAGCAAAATCTTTTTTCTATGGTCCTCTGTGTCCACACAGGCTTTCTCTCAGTGACTCCACAAGCCCTGGAGGGACACGGACAAGCAGGCACGATGTTACCAGGGAAGTGACATGAGAGAAGGAAGCAGCGCTTATGAGTATAGTTTCTGTGAAACCAGCACAGTGAATGCTTCTTTGGTATTGAGACACCAGGCCAGAATTATATGCCAAAATGTGTTGCAATTTATAAAGAAAAGCAGAGACAGAATGTGACTCTGCAAAAGATTATAAAGCAGGGTGACCCGCTCTCCTTGTGTGCCCAGGACCTTCCTGGTTTTACGTACTAAAAATGTCATGTCCCAGGACACCCCCCAGTTTCAGGCAAACTGGAATGATGAGTCACCCTATCATAAAGACCAAAACAACAAAACAAAACAAAACGAGAGCCTTAATCTAAAATGACTTTAACATTTTGGATTTGATTTCACAGAAGGAAATACAGGCCAAGACACTGATTTAACTGTAATATCTCAATTGACTTCAGCTCGTTTTGAAGTAGCCTATACAAAGAGAAACTTTAATCGTCCATGCCAAACAGCAAATGATTTGTATTTTTTGTTTTGATAGGATGGTTATTAAGATAACCTCAAGAAGCTTCTGACCATCCCAGAAACATGGGGCAAGAGGCAAGAGACAGACAGAGGACGGGGATAGAACTCTCTACCATCACTCGTTCGCCTTCCCAGCACCTACCTTCATTCTCATGTCCCTGGCATATTTCTCCAGCTCCTTCCTTATGTCAGCCCTTAACATCTTGGAGACATTGAGGACCAGCTGCTTCCATTCAATGGGCTGGAAGCTATGAGGCTCATGGGGGACGTATAGCCCAATCTTGACCTTCTTGACTGTGTGCAGGTACTTCTTGTAGGAGTCTTCAAAGTCAAAGATGAGGTCACTCAGAGTTCGAAAGGTCAACGGCTTGTCCATCAGCTCAGCCCTTCGGCTCATGCCCAGTGAGCCGTAGCGGCCATTGCAATAAATCCCCAGCACAACATGGTGAAAATAGTTTCCTGAGAAGTAGGTTTTAAAGCTGATGGGGAATCGCTCGATGGAAGGCTGTCCATTGGTTAAGTATCTTAGACCATCTGAGTCAAGGAAGAGAAGGGAGGCCTTGAGAATTAAGAGCTTGGACTCCCAGGAGGGAACGTGATCTGTATGGCAAATTAAGTGTCCATCTCTCTGCCTCTGAGCAGGTCCACATCTAACCTTTCCACGTTAATCCTTTTAGAAAAGATTAACTCAATCTCTTTGAGTACCTATTAGATGATGCATACCGAAGCCAAATTAAAATGGGACCATGAGAAAAACTTGCCTTCTACTTTAGTAATTAAATAAATGTGCAAAACAAAATCATGGACTTTCCCCCTCCCATGTTTTCTTCAGGACATGATGAGTATTAAAGGCTTTTTAAAATGTAATGAGAATGACGTTCTCAGACATTACTTCTGGCTGGAGTGTGTGGGACAGAGCAGGAATTGAAGACCTCTGCAATGTTCCAGGAGAAAAGTGAAAAACAGAATCAAGGCAAGGCAGTGAGATGGAAAACAAACTGACTGGGTACCTGGGTGGCACCTGGGTTAAGCACTTGCCTTTGGCTTTGTCAGATCCCAGGGTCCTGGAATCGAGTCCCACATCGGGTCCCTGCTCAGCAGGGAGTCTTCTTCTCTTCTACCCCTCCCCCCAATCACGATCTCTCTCTCTCTCTCTCTCTCTGTCATGCCCTCTCTCTCTCTCAAATAAATAAGTAAAATCTTAAAAAAGAAAAAAAAAAAAAAGAAGAGACTGGTCGATTACCTGGACGGGAAGGCATCAGAACAGGCCACAGCTGCCCCTCATCTGCTCCTCTCATGGCCCCCAGTACACCCATGCCAACAGCCTTGAGTACCACATAGAAAGGTGCCTCCAGCACCCGAACCTCAGGTTCCCCTCATTCCCCAGCAAACCTGGCATCACAGATTGGCTTTCTCCACTTATCAGCCCATTTGGATCAAGCAAATCAGCAAAACTGATACCGTTGTATCAGTTTGGGACCAGTAACCCCACAGGGGCAGCGCCGCGTAACTAACTACCCCACTGACTCCACACAAGTACCACCACAGCCTCAAGCCCATCTCAAAAATCCCAGGATAACCTTGGCAAGGACCCAGTATTTATGGAGAGGGATGTTGAAAACTCATGGCATCACTTTTCTGCTGAAAACCTGTGGTGACTCCAGGGTGATTCTGAGGTAAATAATAATCCAGGTGCTCTCCATGGCGGCCTGTGCCTGGTAAGTGCCCAGTCAGTGGATACGGTTCTCTACACTGAGAATCTGTCTTCACCATTTCTTGCCCCCACTCCAATGGACTTTCCACCCAGAGGCTAGAATGTTCTACTCAAGCCAAAATTTGGTATGTGTCAACTCTTCTGCTTCAGTTTTCACTCTCTCTCGTCTTCCCCAGACTTGGTCCAAATCCCTTACCAAAGTCCTGCCACAATTCAGCCCCTGCTCATAATTCCTTTGTCCAGTTTCATTCCCCGCTACACCCTGGACCAGCACACGGGCCCACGGTCGACCCGAGACATTTTTGAAGGATATGCCAAGACCATAAGGAATCCACACCCATGCTCTTGGCCAATATATTCCCTCATAATGGGAAGTCATATAAAACTGAAAGTCCTGAATTACTTTTAAATGACCTTGACATTACAAAGCTATGAGACCAACTGAATAAAATGGCCCTAAACATACCCTGTAGCATGTGATGCTCCCTATTGAAGTAGAACTTCCTTTATGGCTTCCCTCACACAGCAGCTCTCTAGGGCAGGGGCTTGCAACCAGGCAGAGATTTTCGGGGTCTCGTAAGAATCACGAGTGAGAAGGATGCTGTGGGCTTACTCTCTTTACACACGCGGCATCCCGAATGGAACAGCGGCACTGCTCTCCCCTCACTCCTTCCCCCTTTCCCCAACCTTCCTCAGTATGAGTTAAGTACCCCGCCCCACCGCCCAACTCAAGAACCGCCACAGCTAATAGCACTGGCTGCTTAATCGCCCAGTGTTATAACTGGGTGTCTCTTTGCATCTTGTAGGGACGGGAGTTGTGTTTCGCAGGCTGGTGTCTGTCCCCGGGCGTAGCATAGGCCTGGCACAGAGACGTGCTCTGTCAGTGCTTGCTGCGAGGATGACCCTCCATTGCGAGACACCTTCCTTAGACTTAAAAAGACTGCCTCAGTGAGGGCCAGTCCAGATACCCTTAAAAGAAAGAAGCTACCTGAAGCCAACCCTGAGGGCTGACCCGAGGATGGGGCCTCAGTTTAAGCACAGATGTTTCCTCTCTCTAAAGTTAGCTGTTTTCTTGTCACTTCCTCCTGCGACATGAACTGGCAGGGAGGGAGTGAAATCCCAACCTTCCGAGGCCCCTGACATCCACTCCTGCTTGTTTTCCGGGGTGAGTTCTCTGGGGCTCGAAGAAGACCTTTCTCAGTCGTTTTTAGTGATAATGAACCCTCACTGGGCGCATATCTCCTGTGCCCGACAGGCTGCGGGTAGGGCTGTGGAGCCAGAGAGCAAGAGCGCAGCCCTCTTCTGGAAGCCTATGGGGACACAGACTCAAAATGGACACGACACGACCAGGATGGCAGTTCCTCAAAAAAGAAGAAGAAGAAGAAGAGAAAAAGAAGGAGGAGGAGGAGGAAAAGGAGAAGGAGGAGGAGGAAAAGGAGAGGGAGGAGGAG